AATATCCCGCATACAGCCATGAAGCGAATAACCAATTTTATCATCATAGAGTTGCAGTTAAACACCGTAGGTAATGACTGTGTATTTGTAGGCAGCAATATAACCCTTGGGGTTTTTTTGTAGGATTAACAGTAAACCCGATATCTGAATGAGACACTTTCAGATCTCAGGCTATTTATAGCAGCAGTTAAAAAAAAGTAATATTATATGTAAGTAGCTACCTCAGATGCCAACATTTGTGTGTAACTTTTTGCATAATGTTCCTGCGTGAATTCATGTTGATATGAAATTGGCTTCTAAGGACCACCACTAAAGGACAGATGTGTTTCTTTTGGAGAAATACATTTTGAATTACTTATCATTAAACAACCACATCTGTTTCAACTACAAGCCCCGACAGATTCCCCAAACCCAATAATATGCAAAAGTGTAATATTGCCTTTTACTCGCAGTCCTATTTCTAGGCTCTATCAGGCGGGAATGCATTCCATGGGCTCTTTCACAGAGCAGGAAATGCCTTTCTCTTCTGACACATTGCTTTGTTAAATCAGCTTTAACCATTTCTTACAGCGATAACTCAAGCAACGATGCTAACAGTCAATATGTGCATAAATGTCAGTGGTCTTGTACCACTGGCTAGACGATTCTTTCACCGTCTAGTCTGTGAATCTAAGTCCACTTTGTGATAATAATAATCCTTGCATTTGATATAGCACCTTATCATGTCATTGAGACATCTCAAAGAACTTCACAGACTATATTGTAAAACGATATTGTAAACCTGTATATTTTGTGGTCGAAACGCGGCAGTCAATTGCATACAGCAGTGTCCCACAAACAGTCGTGAATGAATTACCAAATTATTATATGGGGGGGGGAATTATTACCCCCAGAAAGCGATCCACCATCGACTAACAACCAGCTTTCTAATTACTGCTAGGAAAACAGAGACGTGTGGAGTAAGGAAACTTGTCCAAGGTTTCGCTCTGCCTGGGAATTGACCCCCGATCCTCTCGTTTGTGAGGCGAGCGCACTAACCACTAGCTAGGGGACTCTACACTAGAATACTTTGAAAATTCAGGAATCCCAGGGGCAAGCAGACATCCCCTTACATTTTCCAACAGGGTCAAACATCAATACGTTTCACCTCCCTGGTTAGAGACACAAGGCTAAAATATATCCTCCCAGTCTTAGTTGTAAGACAATTTTTGTCTCAGAATTTAAGATTGCGTGAACACTTGGAAACTTCTTACGTTCTCCCTTCTCCCTTCTCGGATTCTCGGATCATTTAACTGATGTCTCAGATCATCTAACTGGTGTAGTTTGACGCAAAGCCAGGGAGAGTGGGGACATTCTAAGGGGAAGGTCTTCAGATGTGATCTGAAGGTGAACAAGGAGGAAGCAATATGGAGGGATTGAGGCAGAGAGTTCCAAAGGTTCAGGGCATAATAGCTGAAACCACGACAGCTAATGGTGGAGCGGAGAGGACGAGGGATGTGCAGGAGGCTAGAGCCAGTTGAGCAAAGGACATGAATAGAGAAGTAGGGTGTAAGTTATCCAGAAAGGTGGGGAGAGAGGGAAGTGAAGAAGTGAGGCAAATCAAAGAAAGTTTCACTTTAAATTTCAAAACCTTGTTACTATTGAGAGTTCATGCAACATAACCATCACTTTCTAAGGTTAATAATCCCGCCAAGAAAAAGTAGTTGGTCACTCAATCCTCGACTGTTTGTGGGATACTGCTGTGCACAATTGGCTGTCTTGCTTCGCCCACAAAATATACAGTCTCCACTTTACAATATATTCTGTGACACGCTTTGAGACATATCAACAACGTGATAAGGTGCTCTATCTAATGCAAGAATTATTTTATTATTATATTATCGTGATCAGATCAGGTGCACTAAAAATGTAAGTGCTTTCTTTCCAGCAGGAGCTTACACAGAAAATTGGCTAAATCCATTTGCACAAAAAATGCATTTAGAGTATAGTGTGAGCAGCCAATGGTTAAACAAACCCTTACATTTTGAATTTCCTTCTGCACTATTGGCAATCTCTGTAAGTTCACAACATGCTGCTAAAAGCATTGCAACTCTTGTGGCAAGAAGAAAACACCCAGTCTCTCCAACTGCTTATCCTGCTCCATTGCCAGTCCCTGGACTCCAGGTGGCTCTGTTGCTCTGGCAGAGACTATAGCTTCAGCTTCCACTTGGGTAACGGTGTCTCACCCTTAGGCTTTTTGCACCACCCTCAACTCCTCTGCTCCACCATTGGCAGCCGGGCTTCCAGCCAATATCCTCTGGAACTCCCTGTCTCAATCCTTCTGCCTTACCCCCTCTTTGTCCACCGTTAGATCACACCTGAAGACTTTCCTCTAAGACTGTGTAGTGGGTGCAATTGCAAAAGATTCTTGCCTTTGATTCTGACGTGATCGAATCATAAGATCGCATGATTGGTTCAAATGAAGAAGGGCCTTCAGCCCGCTTGATCTCATTCTCCCCTGATAATCCATGGTGCTATTGAATCTCTCCCCTGCCCGCCATCACAGTATCGTTCTATTTTTAGTCCAGTGTCCTAATCTCAACCATCCTTCCTGGTAACCTGTTTCAGTTGTTAATTATTTCGCCCGCATTTTGTCCACAAAATACACAGTCAATCCACTTTACAGTATATCGTGTGATGTGCTTTGAGATGCCTCTTTTGAAGGCAGAAAAGCCCTGGCTTATCTAAATGTTGCTCATATAGAGCTTCTCAGAGTGCACAGCAGTGTCCCACAAACAGTCATCTGTCATCTGCAAACAGATCATAATTTTGGGGGGAGAGTTATAGTGAAGGACAAAAGAATCCAGGAAGATATAAACAGACTAGCAGAATGGACAGATAGATGCCAAATGAAGTTTAATGTAGAAAATTGCAAAGTAATTCACTTCGATATGAAAAATAAAGAAGCCGTGTATAGTCTAGATGGTAGGAACCTAAGAGGAGTGGAGGAGCAAAGAGATCTGGAGATTCACAAATCTCTAAAAGTAGCTATACAGATAGATAAGGCTATGATAAAGGCCAAGGAGATATTGGGCTTGATACCCAGAGGGATAGAATATAAAAGTGAACTTGAATTCATACAAAACCTTGGTTACTGTGTGCAGTTTTGGTCTCCTTATTTAAGGAAGGATGTACTTGCCTTGGAGGGGGTGCAGCGTAGATTTACTAGGTTAGTACCAGGGATGAAGGGGATGAGTTACGAGGATAGGTTGACCAATTTGGGCCTATATTCTCTAGAATATAGAAGAATTAGAGGGGATCTTATAGAAACCTATAAGATCATCAAAGGGCATGATAGAGTAGATAGTGGGAGATTGTTTCCCCTGGTTGGAGGAACTAAAACCAGGGGTCACAACCTTAAAATCAGAGGCAGCCCTTTCGCACTGAGTTGAGGAAGAACTTCTTCACTCAAAGGGTGGTGAATGTATGGAACTCACTACCCCAAAGGGCTGTTGATGCTCAGTCCTTGAACATATTCAAGACTGAGATAGATAGCTTTCTTATTGCAAAAGGGATTAAGGGATATGGGGATAAGGCAGGGTCAGGTTATTAGCTGGAGTTAGATTAGAAGATCAGCCATGACTGAATGGCGGGACAGGCTCGAAGGGCTGAATGGCCTACTCCTGCTCCTACATGTTATGTTACGTTATGTTATGTTATATTAGACCACATTTGAATATTGTGTCCAATTCTGGTCTTCACACTATAAGAAAAACATTTCACTAGAGAAAAACATTTAAGTGGGGCCTAATAGAAGTGATTACAATTATAAAAGGATTTGATAAGGTTAGCATAAATAGGCCGTTTCCATTGGTTGGGGAGTCCATAACCAAGGAACACTACTATAAGAATTTGAAGGAACTATTTCACGGAAAGGGGAGTGAAATTGTGGAACTCGCTGCCTGAAATGGTGGTTAAATCAGACAGTGTAGATGCATTCAAAAGGAAGCTAGACCTTCACATGAGGGATAGAGGAAGAGAAGGGAATGGGAGGGAGTAAGGAATACAAACACCGCCATAGACTAGTTGGGCCAAGTGGCCTGTCTCCGTGCTTTCTATTCTTTGTAAATGTCTTCTGGAGATCTGACCTCAACTGATTTGGCAATATCCCATTTGCCTTGTTTATTGCTGGCTCATATTGCTTTGATGTGATGATTCTTGCATTATTTCTTGTTAAAAAATGAGGAATGAAGCAACCCTCCCGGGAAAGGTAATAAAACAGGAAGAGCAATCCTTAGATTTTGCATAAAAGTTACCATCCAGGTTTAAGAGGCAATTTGTTCAGTGGAGCTGCTTTGACAGGATTGCAGCCAATGCCACAATTTATTGGTTGAGGGAAAATTTCTGACCACTGCATGGAAAAGTAGCAGAAGTAAGGCACAATAATAATAATAATCCTTGCACTTGGTATAGCGCCTTATCACATCTTCGAGACGTCTCAAACTGCTTCACAGAATACACTGTAAAGTAAATTGACTATACTTTGTTGGTGAAATGCAGCAGCTAATTATGCACAGCAGTGTCCCACAAACAGTAATGAATGAGTAACCAAATTATTAATTTTTTTTGAAGCGATTATTACCCCCAGAAAAGTTATCTGTCAATCAACTAACAACTGGGTTCCTACTTATTGCTAGGTAAACAGAGGCATGTGGAATAAGGAAACCTGCCTAATGTTTCGCCCTGCCGGGAATCAAGCCCAGGTGCTCATGCTTGCGAGATAAGTGCTCTAACCAATATGCTACAGAACTACACAAATCTTTACTTTGGTCATTTTTTTCAAATTGCAAACAAACAAGATGCCAGTTTGGCTCAATTGGTAGTGCTCTTGTCTCTGGGTTCAAAAGGTTTATGCACCCCACATTCGAATTTATAATAATAATAATCTTGTCTTTGGTATAGGTTGTCGAGACAACTCCAAGTGCTTCACACGATTTACTCCTCCCAACACTGCACTGGAGCATTGGCCTAGAATATGAGATCAAAGTCTCAATGAGTCCACGATCTTCTGATTTGGAGGCAAGAAGGCTACCAGGAGAAGGGAAGTAAAGTAGGAAGGTAAAAGATTGGTGTGAAAATGCCTAATGTTTAGATACAAAACAATGCAAGGTATTTACAATGAGACAGACAATCAAGCAGGCTAACAATTTCTAACCAAGGACCTAAACCATGTTGGCGGCAGGAATGCCATTCCCAATTTCTTGCATAGGAATGAATAATGTGAGTCAGTTGGCTTCAATTCAAACCCCTGTGTGAACCATGGCCCAGCACGAGATGATTGCACAATACTATTGGAAGAAAGTTTCAACTCGCTTTAGATCTTATGATTGTTATTTCATTCTCTATGTCGTAAAAGATTTACTTCCTACTGGATAAATCTTTCCAACGCCATAGATGTTATTAAAGAATAAAAAAAACTAGCACTTTATTGTTAGTAGTAACAATAATAATCCTTTTATTGCATTTGATTCAAAATGTCTCAAAGCGCTTCACAGGATTCACTGTAAAGTGTTGACTTGCTTTAACATGCATCTTGTTTTCACCTCACACTCAACGCAGCCAAAACCCCTATCCACGCCTTTGTCAACCCCAGACTTGGCTCCTGCATTGCCTTCCCAGCTCCAGCCTTCACAAGCTCTGGGTTAGCCCACATTCCCTATCACACACAAGGCTCTGCAAGTCCATCACCCCCATTCTTGCCAGGCTCCATTGGCTCCCTGTCCCCTCCCTATTTCTGCAGGGCTTAAGAGAACAGGGTTAGGGTTAGGGTCAGCCTTGCTCAGTTGGTAGAATTCTTGCCTCTGAGCCAGAAGGCGGTGGGTTCAAGTTGCCACGTTGGAAATTTGATCTTACATGGGCTAGGCTGATTGTCTAGCTCTGCATCATCAGTAGTGCCTTTCGATGAGACGTTAAATTGAGGGCCCATCTGTTCAGATGGACATTAAAGATCCCTACCCAAAAATGACTTTCTCCCGGTGTCCTGGCCAAAAATCCCCCAAATAAAACTGATCGTACACTTCATGGCTATTTGGGGGACATTGCTGTGTGTGATTGATTGTCTTGATTACCTACAAAATACATAGTTACTAGCTCTACAGTAAATCCTTTGAAGCGCTTTGAGATATAAAAGATGCTATATCAAATACAAGAATTATTATTATTAATAAAACTTCCAAATTAAGACTGAATTTAAGAATTTTTCAAAATTCTGCACAATCTTAAATTTCTGATCCTTAAGGTCAAGTCTAAGGCGAATTTCAGGCCCAGGAGTCTCTTAATAATAATAATGAGAATAATAATCGTTACATTTGATATAAAGATGTGACCAGGGCTCCTTCTGTCTCCTCGTCCTCCTTGACCTCTCTGCTGCCTTCGATACTATTGATCATAAGACCATAAGACGTAGGAGCAGGAGTAGGCCATTCGGCCCCTCGAGCCTGCCTCTCCATTTAATAAGGTCATGGCTGATCTTCTAACCTAATTCCATTTACCCACCCTATCCCCATATCTCTTAATCCTCCTATCCTTTAGAAATCTATCAACCTCAGTCTTGAATATGTTCAAGAACTGAGCACCCACAGCCTTCTGGGGTAGAGAATTACAGAAATTCACTACCCTCTGAGTGAAGAAATGTTTCCTCAACTCAGTTTGAAAAGGCTGACCCTTAATCTTGAGACTATGACCCCTAGTGTACTCTATCTTGACCACTCTATCCTCCTCTACCGCTTCTCCTCTTATCTCAACTTTTATGGTTCTGTCCTTGACTGATTGTACCTCTCCCACCGTCTCCACTTCATCTCCACAAACAGCTTCTCCTCTAGTCCCCCCACTGTCTCATACGGTGTTCCTCAAGGCTCTATCCTTGGTCCCCTCTTCCATATGCTTCCTCTTGATGACATCATCCATAGACATGGGGTCAACTTCCACATGTATGTGGATGACACCCAACTCTTGTCTCTCTACCTCCACCCTCAACCCTCGGACCACTGCTGTCCTGACAGAATGTCTGTCAGACATCAAGTCCTGGATGAAAGCGAACTTTCTACAGCTGAACATTAACAAGACTGAGGCTCTCCTGATTGGCTCCCATCAGGGCCTCCTCACCTCAGGCACTGACAGCATCACCGTCCATGGTTGCACACTCCACCACACTGAGCTAGTCCGGAACCTTGGGGTCTTGTTTGACCTTCAACTATTCTTTCTACCCCACAACCGTGCTATGACCTTCTCTGTCTTTCCCCACCTCCGCAACATTGGCCGGCTTCGCCACTGCCTCAGGCCTCCGAAACCCTCATCCACGCAGTCATTATATCTAGGCTCGACTACACCAACTCATTGCTTGTCAGCCTTTTCGAACTCTTCCCTCCACAAGCTACTGATCATCCAGAACTCTGCAGCTCGCATCCTCTCCCACACCTGGCTCCGTGACCCCATCACACCCACTCTCGCCCGGCTCCACTGGCTCCCCATCCCCAGAGGATAGTTAAAAATCCTTGTCCTCACCTTCAAGGCCCTCCACGGTCTTGCTCCTTTCTACCTCTGCAACCTGTTGACCCCATAGCAACCTGTCCGCTCCATCTGCTCAGGGCTTCATGTCCCCCCATCCAGCCCTCTCCACTATCGGCAGTTGGGCCTTCAGCCTCTCTGCCTCCATTCTATGGAACTCCATCCCACAGTCCCTTTGGCTCGCTCCCTTTCTCAAAACCCTCCTCTTCGACCGAACTTTGGCCGCCCTCTCTGCCCTCCACCCTCTCCGATCCCAATTCCTAGCTCGGGTCCAAATTCCTAAATGTCCAGCACGTTGGGATGTCCTCCCGACATGAAAAACGCTATACGAATGTAATATTGTATTGTATATAGCGCCTTATCGGATTGTTGAAACGTCTTACAGCACTTCACAGGAAATACTGTAAAGTGGATTCACTATGTATTTTGAAGGTGAAACGTGGCATCCAGTTGCTCGCAGCAATGCCCCACAAACAGCCATGGAGTGAGTGACCAATTTTATTTTGGGGGGATTGTTGGCCCGGACACCGGGTGAGAGAAACTCCTTTCTCTATTCATATAGTGCCATGGGATTTTTAACATCCATCTGAACAGGCAGATGGGACCTTGGTTTAACGTCTCATCCGAAGTTCAGTCTTCTTGCTGTTTTAGAAAAACAAATGATGGCATGGTCCCTTTAAGAGATGAAAGTGTAAGGCTTCAGTAGTTGTTAAGATGGAGTCTAGAACGCAAACAACATTCCTGATATTTAAGTACATAGAATCCTGGCTGTACTTTATAAATCTTGGAAAAGAGGAGTGAAAAGGACTGGCGTGTGCATTTAAAAATCTTCCAGAGGTCTCCTTTAATGGGTGACGAGAGTGCAATATAAATTCTGTTAGATTTACTCTGGCACATGTTTTGCCTAATTTTGTTTATTGATGTTTCCCCACCATTTTGTGCAGGAATTTTAAGTCTTTGCAAGTAGTTTGCGAATGTAAAATGTTCTGAAGCTCTCTTACTTAAAAAAATACACTCTTGTGCAGTGTTATTTTGTGTCAGCCTAGCTCAGTTGGTAGCGCTCTCTCCTTTCTGAGTGACAAGGTTGTGGATTCAAGCCCTGGATCAGGTCTTTGAACTCATGTTGTCTAGGTTGACACTTCAACCCAGTATTGAGGGTGAGCTACATTGTTGGAGGTGCCATCCTCCTTTGGATGGAACCTTAAACCAAGGTCCTGTCTGCCTGTCCAGGTGGATGTTAAAGTTCCCGTGGCACTATTTAAAATGAGAAGGGAGTTTCTCCTGGTGTCCTGGCCAACAATACCCAGATAAAATTGACTTCATGGCTGTTTGTTGAGCATTGATGTTTGCAAAATTGGCTGCCATGTTTGCCTACAAATACACATTCACTGCACTTTACAGTGCATAATAATAATAATTCTTATATTTGGTATAGCGGCTATCATGTCAGCGGATATCTAAAGAAGCTTTACAGGATACACTGTCTCAAGACCTACCTTTTTGACTGTGCTTTCAGTCACCTTTTCTCTCTCCAAGAATATTATTTCCGAGATCTAAGGCGAAACAATGGGAAAATGGCTCAGGTGAACATGGAGTGTTGTGGGAATGGGATCCCAGCAACATCGCCACATAGAGTTAGATAGAGTTCCTCAGAGTGATACAGCACGGAAATAAACCATATGACCCAACCAGTCCAGGCTGGTGTTTATACTCCACATGAGCTATTTCCCTCTCGCTCATTATGTTTACTAAGGTACAGAAAGTTTCTTGTGGGAAAAATATCCCCAGGTTCTTTTCACAAACTGCCAGTAAACTCACTCATGGGTGCCAACCCTGCTTGGCAGCACGTACACTTTGATGTTAATAATAAGAAGAATAATCCTTGCATTTGATGCAGTGCCTGTAATGTTGAAACGTCTCAAATTGGCTGGCAGGGAATTACTGTGTGTTTGTGTAGACAAAGACAACAATCCCACAAACATTCACGTGGCAAGTGGCCGATTCGCCCAGACGATACACAGTCACTATACTCTACAGCAAGTCTATAGCTTGCACTTTGAGACATCTCAACGGCGTGATAAGGTGCTATAACAAATGCAACGGTTATTATTATTATTATGTCCAGTGAGGGGCTTTGACGTGTCCTATTGATGTGAAAGGAGCTATATCAATGCAAGGATTATTTATTTTCTGCAAAAGCTGCTTTCTCTGCTCAAAGATGCTGCCTGCACGAATGACGTTGTTATTGTTTCTCATTTCAAATAATGCCCAAGGACATTTAATGTTCACCTGAGCCAGCAGGCCACGGCCTTGGGTTAATGCCTTTTTGCGGGATGGCACTACTGCCATTGCAACGGGCCGACAACACCATGTATCAGCCTGGCTCCACTGGTAACAATCTCACCTCTGAATCAGAAGGTTGTGGGTTCAAGCCCCTCATCAGGTCTAGGCCAACCGTTGATCACCACTAGGTGGAGATGTCAGGCATGATCAAAAAGAGAAGAGGAAGGAGCGATACAACTGCATCGTTAAGTCAAATTAAAAACAAAGTA